AGCCCAAGGGCATGTGGGAAGGTGAGACCGGTCCTGGGGCTCCCTCAGAGCTGCTGCGCTTGTGAAGGGCCCAGCGTCACCGTCTCTGAGCTGCAGGTTCTCAGGCCACCCCAGGCCAGGAAACCTGCATCTTCCACCTGATTCCCAGGTGATTCTCATGCACACGACCGACCACTGGTGAACCGCACACGCCCCAGGGAACCACCACCACAAAGACCAGAACCCCTCCTTGGGGTGACCTGGAAGTCACAGTTCCACCCCCCAGGCAGGAACCCGGCCAGAGACTGGTGGCTCAGAGCCTACCCTCACCGAAGAAAGCCCGATAATGACAGACTTTCTCTGAGATGGAAAGATTAAGGAGAGACGCCCAGGTGGCAGGAAGACAAGTTTAAAAATGCTCCATAACTCAAAGCAGGAAATTCCAAGCCCACATATTCATGTACTCAAGGGCTGACTGACCGCTGGCTGCCTCTGAAAACTGCATCACCCCGGAGTCCCATCCACTAGTTTACGCGGAGTCGTCTCCATGGCTACGAGCTTCAGCTGAGCTTCACTCCAGGTCATTACTGAACCAGCAACACTTGTCCCAGTTCACGCCAGGCCTCCTGGAAGCCGGGGCCAAGGCAGACCCATCTGCTCCCGGGGTGTGGGGGGGGTGCTGCGCCCAGGTGGTCCCCCAGCTGAACTGAGCACAGCAGTCCTGCTCCAGGGAGGGCTGTGCCTCGCCCCAGGGGTGAGTGCCCATCGGAGACTCTCAGAGACCTCCTTTTACTGGCTCCATCACTTTTTAATCGATGCTGAAATAAATCACCACCAACAACCCAGATCTACGCTCTCTCAGTTCTGGAGGCCAGAAGTTCAAAACGGGCCTCACCGGGCTGGTTCCTTCCGGAGGCTCTAAGGGAGAAATGGTCCCCTGCCTTTTCCAGCATCCAGCAGCTGCTCTCCGCCTCTGGCCCGGGTCCCCTGCCCCCACCGTATGCTGCCATCTCGCGGGTCCGGCTCTCCCACCTTTCAAGGACCCTCGTGAGTATATTGGGCACACGGAGCCCAGCACTCCAGGGTTGCCTTCCCATCCCAAGATCCGTAACTTGACCACATCTGCAAAGTCCCACCTGCCACGTAAAGGAACAGTCACAGGCTCGGGGCTTAGGATGCGGACGTCTCTGGGGACCGTTACTCTGCCTGTCCACCTCCGTGCCTGGAGGAGTCCGCAGGGGTCCCCTCTGCCTCCTCCTTGGCCTGGGACCCGTCTCCCAAGACGGGAAGCCCCGAGGGGCCCAGCGGTGCAGAAAGGGATTCCACCCCCACTGACACCGGGACCGGGCGGCCGCCCCGTGACAGCTTCATGTCCAGAAAGTCTCCCACTTTCTTCAACTTTCGTTCTGACTGAGGTGTGGAGAGGGGACCGAGGTTTGTTCTGTCGTCGGGCTTCTTGGAATCCCCCGTCTCACCACATTCGGAGGAGAAATGTGGCGAGAGCTGCGCGTTTCCAAAGAAGCGCCGGCGCTGTCACTAACCACGGGCTCATCGAGTCATCGCGGCACCTCCCGGCCCGGCCTCCCTGGGCCTCACTCGCTGTATTCAGCCCCCGCGGTCCCCTTGTTTCTGGGAGATGCTGGACATAGCGCCTCACACCTCCCTTCACCTGGGCCTTTTCTCCCATCGTGCCAGGCTCTGCACCTCACTCCCTCCAGGTCTCTGCTCAGGTGCCCCCTTGTCAGAGCTGCTTCCTGCGCACCCCGCCCAGGACCCGTGCCCTGTCTCTGCATTGTCTATGCCATGGGGTCCCAGAACCAGACTGCCTGGGTTCAAAGCCGCACACGCCCGGTGGGAGCTCGGGCAAGTTGTTTATCCTTTGCGGTCGTTTGTCTACTCTCAGCCACCAAAGCTTTTTTACCATTCTGGTCGTATGTCTGCTCTCAGCCACCACAGCAAGGAACCGTACGAATCTTAACTCTATTCATTCATGTATCAGTTCATAATTTCTCTTGTTTATCCTTCATAATCTTGCATGTTATGTATCACTGCTCTTTCAATGGAAATTAATTCCGACCAGTACGACACCCATGTCCAAATTTAATACGACCGCAAAGGGTTAACCTCTTTGTGCCTCGCTTGTCTCATCTGTAAAACAGGGGTAATGGCAGCGAGGGCAATGGTTCCTAAATTGTTCATAGTAAGAAGAGAGAACCTGGGTGGCAAGTGTGTCTTCTGCACCTCATGGCCCCAGCTCCTTCGGTTCCGCCTTCCTACCCCAACCCGCCCCCTCCGATCTACCAGGGGTTTGAGATGTTATAGAGCTTTAAGAATAGGCCATCCTGAGTCTTACCAGCACGGTCTAGCACACATCGCACACAGCTAACAAAGTACCGTTGTCATTAAAGTTCATCGCTTCATCTCGACAACGGAAAAGCGTTCAGGATCTGGATATCATTCTGATGACTGTCAGGGAGCCCACCCCAGCACCCTGCAGGGGAGAAGTCAAAACGCGTCCTCCGAATCCCCAGCGATAACCAGGAAGTGGCTCCCTTTAAGTAAACGCTGGACGTGGGCTTATTTACACAGACCATCTGTCTCTCCCAAAAAACACGATGGTTGTGTTTCTTTGAGAGGAAAAGGGGCTGTTACCTACTTCAAAAGAATGGTTGGAAAAATTAAGAGAATGTAAATGAAGCACGCAGCACCCTGGCTGACCTAGGAGAGTGGTCCCATACAGGCTCATCATTACCACCACTTATGGAGTTTGCCCAAAACATCCCAGCTAATTAGCAGTTTCCACTGTTGAAATTATGGCCAAACGGGAGTTACTGGACATAAACTCACTTGCATGGTTTTTATGTCGTTGGGGATTTACTGTCTTTCTAAGCACGTTAGGAGCCCTGTATATTCAAGTTGGCAAATCACGGTAATAAAATTTCGTGGCACACGTACCGACCCAATCCACTGGAAAATTCGGCAGCAGCTACAGCAGTTACAAACAGAAGCCTAACTACTTCAACGCTTTAGTAACTAAATTACTAGAGAGTCAGCTGACTTATTGCACTTTAATGATGCCGATTAGTTTTCTAGCCACCCCTTAAAGTGTCACCACAGACTGGGTCGGGGCCAATATTTGACACATATAATCCCTGAAACAGCTCTAAGGGGGAGAGACTGTAAGTCTCCCTTTAAAAATTTTGTTTCCAATCCTCTTATTTTTTTTTCTCTCTGACCATAAAAACAATTTCATGATTACTAAAGGACACTTGCAAATGGTGGAAAAGTGTAGGAATTTTTTCTACTACCCGTTTATTATGTAATTGTCGCAACGTCAGATTGCAGTTTCCAATACTTCTCTCAACCTCTGGGCTCAGGGGACAGTCAGGAACAGTTCCCAGACCGCCACTAGTCAGCAGCAGCTCTAGAGCCTAAAGCGCCACCACTTGCCGGTCACCCAGCTCGGGCAATTATCAACATTTTGTCAGTCCCCAAATCTCCCCCAAATCTCATCTGAAGGAGGCCCAGGGAGGTGCAGACGGACCTCAGCTGCTCAGGACTTGAAGCTGGGAAGGGGTGGAGCCAGGAGTCAGACCCAACTGGCAGACTCCCCGAGGAAATCCCCTGGGCTCGAGGACAGGCCTTGTAGGCGAGGCTCCTCTTATCAAGGACCTTTGGAATCTAAGGGCCTTTGCCAGAGATGCTGGTGGAAGAAAGAAACCTGAACAACCTCTAAAGTCTTGAGACTCTGTAAGTGCTACCAGCCTAGGACACCAGGCCCTCCCGGGAAACAGCCCAGCGAAACGCAGACACGGCAGCTCTCCCACCTGCACCGGCCCCTTCTCCTTTCTTTTCCTAAAACTGTTTATATTTGGCTCCTACCACGGCCGGTGGGGGTCAGGTGTGGAGGGGCCGAGCCAGGTGCGGGGCTGTCTGTCTGGGCGCAGGGCCGGTCAGTCTGG